GAATACACAGGAATCAAATCAACTACATCTATGGAAAGAGATGAAGAAGCAGCTCAATAGCATCATTCAGAACAAGGCTTGGGCCAACTTTGTTCATATGTAAATTCAAATCAAAACTGAAGAAAAGTAAAAGCAATCCACGAAAGCCAAAAAATACGACCTTGAGTATGTACCACGTGAATTTAGAGACTATCTGAAGAATAGAGTTGACATATTGAACACCAATGACCAAAGACCAGAGGAGTTGTGGAATTACCTATTTGAAGTTTTAGAAAGCATAGATACCACTTTGAAGACCAAGGTGTGCCTTACCCAAGCCATTGTCTTTTCAAGAGCCTCATATGCATGTGAAAGCTGGACACTGAATAAGGAAGACTGCAGAAGTTATTGATGCATTTGATTTGTGATATTGGTGAAGAATACTGAATATATGATGGACTGCTAGAAGAATGAACAAATCTATCTTGGAAGAAGTACAGCCATAATGCTCCTTAGAAGCGAGAATGGCCAGACTTCATCGTTCACATTTTGGTCATGTTACCAAGAGGGACCAGTCCCTAGAGAAGGTAAAGTTAGCGGGTCAGCAAAATAGGAGAAGACCCTGAACATGATGGATTGACCCAGTGGCTACAACAGTGGGCTGAAGCATAGTAATGAGGATGACACAGGACCAGGCAGTATGTTAGTCTGTTGTACATAAGGTTGCTATGAGTAGGAACAGTCTCAATGACACCTAACAACAACAATGGTGTTTCATGTTAACAGCTACTAGCTCGCTCTTTTGTATATTAAGTTTAATCTATGTTTGGCTTTTTTTTTTTTCTTTTGTGATTTGGGTGAAAGTTTACAGAGCAAATTCACTTTCCATACACTTTTATCTCATGACAATTTACCCCAATACCACAGCTCCCCTCCCACTTCCTCCTGATAGTTACCTCTTCCCTGTGTCCATCCCTCCGTGCACTCCAGTCCCCTGAGCTGTCTCCCTAGCCCTTCTTTCTCCCATGATTGTTCTCTCCAAGGAGTATATCTACCTGAGGTAAATGTTCAACTCATATGCCTGTCTCTTGTTTGGCCAGACCTGAGAGGCAGCTAGGGGCCATAGTCCCAGTGGTTCCACCAGGCTGTATCAGACCAGCAAACGTGGTCCCATGTTTGGCATTTCTCTAAAACAAAGAGATTGTTTATTATGGGAGTGGGTGTGGCATCGTCCGTACAGATGAAATAGCATTTAAACTTTTGCATTTAAATTTTCTGGGGCATGTATAGGGTGAAGATGTAAGCATGGGCATTTGGATGGCAGCTATAGGACCTAAAAGATACCAGGTAAGCAAAGCCTGAGGTGGGGGGACTGGTTTAGGGTTGAAGAAGTGAAGTTTCTATATACTGTATATCAAATTTTGGGCAAAAACAATGAGATGAAGATCTTCTAGCATCATAGCTAACATCTTGATGTTTTCATAATAATCCACCTACGTTGTTTCTCCCACAATACTTTCATGAGTTTAAACTAAAAGGAAGTATTTTCAATGGAAGTTCCCCACCCACAAAGCTTTTATACATTTGGTCAGAAATACTTTGCCCCCTTAAAACATAATAATCAAGTTGACTCAAGTTTCTGGCAGTATGTCTTCTAAGAATCTTAAATGACACTTCTGACTAAAATAAATAAAATACTAGATATATTACTGTAAAACATCTTTTTAAATACATTGATTGTTGATCCAGAAAAAAAAAAAAAGAATCCACAGAGACCAAAACTAGAAATTGGGAACCCTGGGAGAAAACAAGCACAAAGCTGGCTTTGCTTCAGAGATTTCTGCTGAATTCTGGATTCTTTCAACATTCCCTTTAGCCAAGAATATGCAGCAGGCAGAAGATAAAGTGAAGTGTCTGCCCAGTGCAAGCCCTGCATAGAGCTGGGACCCCAAACCAGTTTATCCTTAGAGTTCAAGGATGAAAAGAAATAAATCCAAATGTACTTGGTTGGCTTTGATAGTATTATAGGAATAACTAGTCTTATAAGAATAATTTTGTCATCTTTGACTTAAAATTGAATGTAATAATTCCATTTTCTGTGTCTGATAGTTCTAGTGTCTTCGCAGGTCTTTGCAGTTTGTTGTTCATACTGACTTGTTCATGAAGCATTCATGGAGTTTACTGATATATTCAGATCCTTTGGGGCCAGGAGCAGTTCATCTTTATAAATTGAGGCCTGTATTTTAAATGCATTCCTACAGAGGATTTATACTTTTTTTCTGCCACACATCTAAGGACTCTTTAAATTTCCATGAACTGTGAAACACTTTAAATCTATGAACACTTGAAATTTCTGGCTTGAGACTTTTGGGGGTCCACAAGGATTAAACACCAGCTATTTGCCTTCCTACAGGCTGTGGTTACAGATGCTCAGGGGAGACTTCATTCCACCCAGGACCAAGACTAAGACAGTCAAGCCTCCCTCTCACACAAAGTTTTCTCTTGTATACTCACTGAGGGTGTCACCTTTCTGGGATGCCAGTTCTCTGTGGCAGTTTCTGGTCAGGCTGCTATCCCTGGATATGGCCTTCTAAAGCCTAAAGAGTCTAAGGTTCTCAAGGCATATGCTGACTCTAGCACTTCACCTACTTTTAAGTTTTCCTTTTCAGACATGCTTTAAAAACGTATTTTTAATTTTACCCAGCATTTTTGTGTCCTCTAATTGAAATGGTTTCTCTGTATATGTATTTTGCTATATTGCTGGAAACAGGACAATTCCCGCAGTGAAGTAGCAGTCTAATGGTTTAAGATCTTGGATTAATAAGTATGACAGATACATATTTCAATCCCTCCTACCCAGTTTACCAGCACACTCTGATTCTGAGCAAGTAGTTATCTCTCTTAGTTTCTCATTTATACAAGGGAAATAATTCCTGCCCCAAGGGTAACTGTAAGAAATAATATTTATAAAGCACTTACTACAGTCCCCAGAATATTGTAAGCCTTACATCAGAATGGTCACTATTGTTAGTAAAACTCTAGGAAATATTAATAGGAATTTTAAGCATCAGTAAGACTTACTGTATTAGGATTTGAGCCAAGTTGTACTGAACAGATGTATCATTTGGCAGTGTTTTTAAGGCTATATAACCACCTTTTTTCTAATAGCAAATATGAAACCCCATTTGATTCCCAAATTTTCTGTTTATAGAATTTAATTTGCTTTAATCCATACACATTGCCATTGTTTCTGTTTTACCAAACCACATGATCACAGACATGGTGCTTCCCTAGAATCATGGGTTCCACCCCGTACACCTCGAGTGGGGGGTCACAGGTACTTTGACTATTTGAGTTGTCTCTGGAATAATGTTAGTTTCATTGGAATATATAAGTTGCCTATATGCATGTTTTCTCTCTCTCTTTTACAGTTTCACAATTCTCAAATCAGGTTTTGTTTTGTCTTTCAACAGGACAGCCTCTGGCTATGTGAGAAGACGTGTGAAATTGGAATGTTGTCTTCTCCTCAATATTCTCCACAGGAACTCACAGAACTCTGGAAATTGAAGGAATTGTGTGGTGATCCTTGCAAATGTGAAGCAAGATAATAATGGTTTTAATTAACAGTGTTTAAAGATCGGGGTAAACAGGGTAAAGTGAATAATAATCTGAGTATAAGTCTGATGAAAGCCTGAGGTTATGTGGTCCTTCAGGATAGTTCTAGGCTGGCCCTTTCACCTGTAATCAATGTGGTACTCTTAATATTTGCACAAAATTTCCTCTTTAAAAATCAACTACTATGGTAGCCTAAGAAAAATTCTATTTATGTACTGGAAAATTTGAAAAATGCCAAATTCTTTATAAAAAGAAAAATATTTCTAAATCCTAAAGCATTGTTTATAATTAAATAAGTTACTGTTACCTATCAGTTAATGATTAAAACTTGGCCTATTATTTCAGAAATCTTTAGTAGTAACTGAGTGTTTGAATTTCCACCTGGATTGCAGAATAGCTCTGTATAGTAGAATTAAGGTAATTAAAGGACAAAAAGAACTCATAGAAATGCTACTTGATCATGTTACATGTGCAGTGGTCACTTCTTAACACCAAAGTTTGGGGATTTCTGAAAGTAATACCAGATTTCGTGGATCTCTGAATGAAGTGGACAACTTGAAAAGAAACCAGTATAATTCTCAGTTCTGGGCTTTGTTTTTAGGAGGTTCATTTATTAAGTAGGCTAATTCCCAAGTTTTCTTTTGCCATTTAACATAAATGCTAAAGCTCACAATTAGTGCTCCAATTAAAAAAAAAAAAGTGAATGTGAATAAAAGTAAACACTCCCAGGTTTAGTGCCAGAGGGAAGGATATTTCTAAGTAGCTGATACTTTGAAAGAATTAACTTTGCTTTCCTCCTATCATTGCTAATATTTACCTAAAATAAGTGAATTTTAATCAAAAATGGTAATCTATAAAAGAAGATAAGCCCAGTTTAGGCCTAACTATAGGGAAAAAACATATGATTAATTTTTTAAGTACTTTAAATACAGTACGAGTAAGAAGAGATATAATAATGTTATAAATAGTAGAGGATGTACCTCCCTAAGTTTATGGACCTTTACCAAAATGACGAAGCAAATCATTTTAGTAACTTTTGGAAATAAATAGTAGTTTCAATAGAGAATTCCATTAAAACTAGTCTTTGACAGACATTAACTGTGTTCAGATTACATTAGGCTAGCTAGTATCTATTTAATATTTAAATCCTCACATAATGAAATGCAGTGATGAACTGTAAAAATAAATATTAAATAAGAAAATCATTAGTAGGTACAAAGCCTTTATTATATATTATACAAGCCTGGAAATGGTCTCTGTCCAATGAAAAATGAACCTTTTCTATACTTACAGCAAGTTGTAAAATCCTATTTTTTTGATAGTAGAATTGTTTACATGAATTAGTTATCTCCAGGAAACCCCATTCGTGATAAACAGTCCAGTTTCTGAATTGTATTAGTTGGCTATTACCATCGCACTAATAGACAATCTCCATTTTCCACAGAATAAAACTGTAATGACTGTTGGTCATTTTCTAATTCAATTTCTCTCCCCGGCATCTGTTGGGGGGAGGGGGAAAGATTGGTGGAGTGATTAAGACAGATCTGACAGAGCATGTTATATATAGCCCACAAATAGTAGGTTACCCTTAAAGCCAAAAAGAGACGAACGATCTCTACTTAGAATCAAGCAGTGTTATTTATACACTTAAAATTTTAATATCATGTCATACTGTGGAGAACTAAGTTTGAACTTTGTATTTTGCCAGCTAACTTACTTTGGTACTTTCGTAGGACAACAGAAGTTCTGATACTGGAACTTTCAGAAGACGTGACAGCAATCCTTTCACCTTTTGAATTGTCATGGAATCTATTAAAGAAAATCATAATTCTCTCAAATGACAGTTGACCTGTAAAATGAGCTCACGTGATAAGAACACAAATGCAATGACAGCTATATCTGCCATTTCATAGTATTAATTTACCCAACTAAATAATTAGGGAATGACTTTCTAAACTAAGTGAATCACAAAATCAGTTTCACACAGCTTACTTTAGTTACTTGGTAAGATGTGGGAAACAAGCCAATGCTTTGACCTAAGTGCCCTGTGACAATAGTTTGATACTATTTCAATGGTGTTTAATATTTCTTCCTTAATCTGAATAAACAAAAATATTCCCAGCACAGAGGAATAAATGTAAGTGAAGTCTTGTGAAGCCTTTGTGATCACTTTACTTATGAATTACTGAAAGAGCACTAAAGTGGTACTTGGCACCCTAAGAAAACCTCTTAACGTTTCTGGCCTTAGTTTGCTCATCTATAAAAGAGGAGGATAGACTAAGTAATCTATAAGGTCCCTTTCTAGCGCTGCCATTCTATTACCATCATAATGTGTACATGTTCAATTAACATACACATAAAAGTGACCACCAGACATGAGAATGTAATTGAAGTGAATAAATGCTTTGCTTTGTTTAGAAAACATTATGAACTTCTTTCCTCCAAAGACGGGTTGTAGTAAATATTAGATATTTGGTTATGAAAAATATAGTTTCTTTGAAGCTTTATCTGAAAGTACAACAACAATATAGTGTTCCTACAAATATAATGTATTCAAACATATTTTTCTATCAAAAATCTTTTTTTTATAAGCTGTCAGTGTTTTTATGCAACTTGTGATAATAAACGTTATCTTTATTTTAGAATAAAAATTGGCCTTTTCGTTTATGTTTTGAATACAAAAACTTCATAGATATTTAATTAACACAATTTGCTCTCCTATATGCATATAAAAACCAAAAACCAAACTCACTGCCATCAAATCAATTCTGTCTTACAGTGACCCCCACTGGATTTCCAAGGCTATAAATCTTTACAGAAGCAGACTACCTCATCTTTCTTCTGCAGAGTGGCTGGTGGGTTCAAACCATTGACCTTTGGTTAGCAACCAAGCCCCTTACACCAGAGCTCCTTATTGTATAAGTATACCCCAATATATCCGGGATAGAAATGCAAATTCTCAGCAGGTAGTCAAACGGAATGAACCAGTTTGAAGCCCTGCACCAAAGCTATTCAAGGAGTGGATAATTAGCTCCATTTTACAGGTGATGAAGACAGCGGTAGAGACATGCCTAAGATCACAAAGCTTCTGGAGACGGAACCAAAACACAAACCCAGGTGATAGATAATCTCTTCTTCAAAAGATTTAGGTGGACTGGTTTGCACTGTTTGGAGGGTTACAGTTGTAGTAGGTTACATTTACACACCTGCGTGTGAAATGACACATTCTTAATTCATGCTAGAAAATAAAAAGTTTGGTCATAAGACAAAGTAGAAATGAGCTAACTTGTACTGTGGCAATTTGCATGTAATAATCTAAGTAACATTAGCAGTTTTAAGACCTTAACATTCTGAAAATGGGAAAATAATTATCTTTTTACCTCCTTCTAACCAATGTTAAGGTTAATGAGTATACACCCAAGCATATATGGGTGTCATAATATATATTAGTCTACAACTTGTATTTATTATATGACGGTACATCTGTATATGCCAATTTCCTCTAGGCTTGCACTGTTAATTAAATATGGCAGCCACACGTATCTGTTGGGCCCCTGAAATACGGCTCCTATGACTGAAAACCAAATTTTGTATTTCATTTTAATGAATTTAAATTAAAATCACTGATGTGGCCAGTGCAGCTGTCGATCTACTTCATTCTCTTTAATGATGGAGAATACTGTGTAGTATGGCTCTACCAGAAGTTATTGAGCCATTCTCCATTAGTAAACACTTAAGATTGTTTTTATTTTTAACATTATAATAAGTGCTGCAAACATCTATAACAAGTGTTTAGTCAGAGCATATATATATATTCTTTATTTCTATAGCATTTACTACATGGCTTTACAAAAAGGCTGTACCAATTTCTCATGCCAGCACTGGGTATGATGATTTTCTTTAATTTTTGCTAATCTGATAGGCAAAAAAAAAAAAAAAAAAGGCACTACAGTACTTTACATTTCTCTACAACTTCCCTTCTTATAGGCTATTTAGCTGTGTTAGTGGTGTTAGATATTTAAAACATGTGGCATAAGAATTAATAGAACTCTTATAATCTACTGGCTTACTGCTGATTTTATAGAATGCAGGATTCAGATTCTAAGCAGCTTAAACAGTAATTATTACACACAGTTTCTATGAAAGATTCTAATCACTGCTAGTAAGTTCTACCTAAAGATTAGTAAGAATCAGAGCATGAAGCAACTAAGTTCCCCATGGGTGTTTCGAAAACAGGTAACTGAATCTGAAAAGAACTGGGACGTTAGTCAGATGTACACCATGTTAGAAGAGAAGGGTGGTGGACATACTATCACCATCAGGCTAGGACTGCATCCATGCACAGGCTCAAAGCACACATACAGACAACAGTTCTTGACTGACAGATGACAGTGCTTTCACAGGGCAGGCCCCAAAAAGGAAAGTGTAACAGAGATCTTAAAATCAAATATTTCTTAGTTGTAATATCCCCATGAATTGATTTACTGGAAAGTAAAAGGAAAAGATGCAAAGACGTTCCCCTAGCCAACTAAAAGAAATTATGGCCCTCTTTTACTTGTCTGTTCCCATGAGAGCCTTTATTGATAGCATTTAAGTTTGCAAAAAGACTAATGGAGAACCACGTATTTTAATACCTTGTTATATAACAGTAGCAAAATTGCAGGTCACTTAAGAATAAAATCTGGATTGCTACTAAATAAAATTGGAGAAATAATGGAAAATTAACACTAGATGGATAAGTCAATTAGAAAGGTATTTCTTTGAGCTCAACAAAGGCCTTTCATTAGCTTGTTTTATTTGCTAGAAACGAATTTAAAAATCAATATGAATTCATTGCACTGATAGGCAAACAAGTTAAAGTAGTTCACTAGAGTCATTTAGGGTGATTTCTTCTTCAAATCATCATGGCTCTAAATTTAACCTGCTTTTATTTCAGCATTTATCTATGAATCAAGTTTAATATTTAGAATCTACCATATTAATTCATATTTAAAAAAAAAAAAACTAAAAATCTTTTCAGTGAACGTTTAAAGTAAGTCATGTTAACCTGATTAGTTTACACAAAAGTAGTTTCTGAATAAATCTAATTTAGTTCCAGTATTAAAAGAACCAAACCTATTGACTGCTATTGTCATCAACTCCAACTCAGGTACCCTATAAGAACAGAGCAGAACTGCAGTATAGAGTTTCCAAGGCCATAATCTTCAAGGAAGCAAACTGCCACATCTTTCTCTTGCAGAGCAGCTGGTAGGTTCCAGCCAGTGACCTCTCAGTTTGCAGCTGAGCACTTTAACCACTGTACCACCAGTGCTCCAATTTCAGTATTACATGTTTAAATAAAGTCCTAAAGTGGTTAGTTTTCCTAAGAAAACCATTTCAGTGTGTCCAATAAAAGAGAGAGGCTTAGAATTGTTTCTGCAGGAATGCCACATCTATAAGGAAGCTAACCTAAGCCAGTTGTCATGCTCACATGCCTTTGCTTTAAAATGCAAGCATATGCAGGGGCTTCAAATTTTAATGTAGACTATTTTCAAGATGAACTGTTAAAATTTGGGGAATACTTGAACTTTTGGGGAACAGTGATGTTAACATGATTGTATTTTAGAATATAAAAGACTAATGAGCTCTGGTAGCATAGTGGCTAAGGCACTTGACTGCTAACCAGAAGGCTGGCGGTTCAAACCCACCAGCCACTCCTCGGAAGGAAGATGGG